GAGACAAAATGTAAATACTTGTTTTTTTTCTTTTTTAAAGTCTGAAACTGTGACACTCATGAAAAAAAAATTCCTTATATGATCCAGGTTTCCCCAAATACTGCACAGTTCTATATCCTTTTACAAATACTTTGTTAGCTAATATTTTAAAAATATGCCACTGGCTCTCATCCTTGGCTGTATATTACAGTCACCAGGGAACTTTTAAAAAGATATTAGAGAAAGAACTTCGAAGAGCAAGTAGCAAGATTTAAGAACACTGGAAGCCTGGCTGTTGAGCTCTGGACGGATTTTTCTGGGAGCTGGAAGCACAGCCGCTACAGCTGCAGTATCCCTTGTGGCTCGGAGTAGGAAATAATTGAGCAGCACTGAAACATCTGAAGACGCAACTTAAGGGATTGGTGCCAGTTTATGAAGGTGGCTGTGGAAGTTGAAGGGTCGACTGCTTCAGTCAAAAGGAATTCTCCTTGAATGAAGAAGAATAAGAACCAGAACCGTGAAGAAGCATGAGAGGATCCAACCAGAGGGACAAGCGTGATGAAGATGTTGAGCTGATCTTTGTTGGGATGGACCATGTACATGAAGAGTCGGAAATTCTCTGTCAAGGCGATTTCAAATTCAAAACCAGTTATTTCAGACTTTTGGAACAGTGTCACCCCAGGCTCGTATTCAAAAAGAAAGGCCGTCTCAGTCAAGACTCTGCTTCTGCGTCCCGGTCTGTAGTTCATGTGACCCCAGTGGCCAGAGCAGTGGCTGTCAGGCCAAATTCTCAGTCTGAATGGAGATCAGTAGATAATCCCATTATTACTGAGTCCTCATCTAAACCTGCTTATTAAGTGAGCTCACCACAAGTCATTTCTCCTCAGGATTCAAAGCAACTTTTCATTGCTGATAAAAAAAAAAAAAAACGCAGCAGAAATCCCAAAAGGCCTAAACTCAGGAACGAAATCCCGAGTGCATATTCTTTATATTTATACCCCTGCTGGTGCCTCTCCTCCAATGGACAGCAGTACACCACCAGGCCGTGTGCAGAGTGGAACAACCTTTGCTTTGACTTACACTAATGAAAAGTCACCTTTTGGTCTCAGGATCTGAACCTAGAAAATAGCTCTGAAGGTTTGGTAAAAATAGGCTTACAAAGTCTAACAGGTCAAAACAGGACCTTTGACCCCCAAGAAAGGAAGCCTGATCCTGTTACTTAGTCACTTTTTACTGTGGACAACATTCAGGAGACGGGCAGCCAGAACCAGAGACTCTGTTGTCTGTAAAATCTGTGAATTGTCACTTGAAACGATCAGGTTCTCTTAAAACACATAAAGGACAATCATAAACCTGGGGAAATGCCGTATATGTGCTAGGTTTTCAGTTACAGATTGTCGGCCTTTGCAGATGTGAAAGCACATTTTATTTATTTATTTATTTTTTATTATTATTATTTATTTATCTATTTATTTTTGTTTTTTTTGATAGGGTCTTGCCAC